GAAACCGCCCCTTAACAAAATAACCCAACGTCATAACCTCAAAACATCCATCTCACTATAAAACTTCATTAATCTGAACGAATCGATTCAATGCGCCCTTTAAATTCAAAGCACCAAACCATATTTAACTAATTTAAACACACCAGCAGGGCGAGAATGATTACAAATTCCAATGAATGTAATAATATTATATTTTCAATGCGAGAGATTTAATTATTCATGAACGTAATAACAATAATAGAATTGACTGTATATGCTGTGCGGTTGCAATTTTAGTAAATTTACAAATTCCGTATCGATTGTCTACTAAACTCTGACTCCAACGATGAACTTTCCAAATGTTTTTATAGTGTCATCCTCATTAGTGTTGTTTGTGTATCTTCCACATTAATTTTATAAAAGTTTTCCAACAAAAAATGAGAAAATCCATATAAAGGTAATGGATAGCGATTGCAAATTCGTATGAATGCTTCATTAGACCGATTAATGAGATGGAATTTTTGCAATTAAAAGCAGTTTTTAATGCACGCTTCATATTTTATTGTTTTGCATAAATATTGAACGAATTAATTTATATATTTTTTCTGCTCTCGTAATGAATTATTAATGCGGTGGAATCACACAAGTAGAGAATGAGATAAGGGGGATGTGGATTTTGTTGAGGATGAAAAAAATGAAATATTAACGAATTTGTGCTTAATCGATGAGAATTGCTATAATTTAATAAAATATTTTTTTTTATAATTGATGTATGAATGTATTTTAAATGATTTATTATGGGGCCGTTCACTTATTACGTTCGCATTTTAGGGGGGAGGGGGGGTTTGAAAATTGGAACAAAATGTAATATAGGGGGGGGGGGTTTAATGATTTACGAAAAATTATCAAAATAAAATAAATTATGAACCTTCAGGGGGGGGGGGGGGGGGGGTTAGAGTTGTAACATATTGTAACAAGGGGAAGAGGGGGGGGGGGGGGGGTGAAAAAAGTCGTTTTTTTGCGTAACGTAAAAAGTGAACGGCCCCTATGGACGTTGGGGATTTTATTTTTGTATGAAAGGATTGAAGCGTCTTTTGTGCATACAACTTTCGATTCCCTGACACTGGAATAGAAGCTGAATGAAGCTGATTGTGAAGTCAATTGTGCAAGGAAGTGATAGTTTTTTTAAGGTCCAGAGGTTATGAAAACGAGTGCCTGGAGTGCATCCGAATACTCTAGTTAAAAGTTAAGTTCCAATTTTTTTTCTATACAGACTAAAGGGTTAGCGAAGTAATCCAGGCAAATAATAATCTATCTTATTGTGACCGAGCTGAAGTGGCTGGGTGGCGAAATGGTTTAGTAATTCGGCACCAACTTATTGCAATACTGACACAGCGATCATGGGTTCGAGACTCGGGAATGAAAAATTTTTCACTTGTTCTTTTTCGAATCATATGTACTGAAAATGAGGCTTACAGCCTTCCTTTGTAGGCTCCAGGCAGAAATGTCATCAGAGGAGTTGTTCGGATCCCACTATAAACTGTAGCTCAAGGTTTGAGCTGAGGAGGTCTGGCGGAACCTTCTCTCGTTAAACTATCATTAGCCTTGTAACACATTTAACATGAAGCTATGGATCTAAAGGTCTGAATGCTAAAGTTTATTTTTAATTTATTGTGACTTCAGAATCTAAGTTTATAGGAATTGCACTAAATTTATATTCAATTCCGGTTAAATTGAAATAATGTTGTCAATCAAATCAGAATTCACCACAAAATGGTTAAGTCCAAAATAAATTTGAATTTAAAACATAAATTTAATTTGATTAATTTCAAAATAAACAAAAATCCCTCAAAACATGAAATTTAAATTTTCTAATTAAATTGATTCCATTAATTTTAATTAAATTTAAAGCACAGCCTTTTAATCAATGTCGATAATATCATCTGTATGTTCGCAAACAAATTTAACAAAATCAGAAAATTACTCAATAAACATCACATGTAATTACTTAACAAGTCTTACACAACCTAGCAACAAAATTAAATTAATTAATTCCATTTATTCAATTTTCTCAGAAAAAATTTTTCACCAAAATTGTCTCAACAACAAGAAAATTAAATTTTCATTTCATAATTTTAACGAAAACCCAAAATCACAAATCATCAATCAATTATTTACTTATTTGTGGCTCCTTTGAAGTTTCAGTTTCAATCCCACAGAAAATGTGTTACATTCATTCTAAACACAAATTGTTGGTAAAATGTCTTTTGTAAATATTTGACACATTTGACGAGTTAATTAAATTGATTGCTGATGCTGCATAAAGCTTATAATCAAGCAATATAGTTTGTAGCTGACATAAAATCAAGCATTTTGGTATTATTATATTTTATGTTGTTATGGATGTGTTCGTAAAATTGATACTGTAAACTTCTGTTCTTAGACATGCATCGTCAGCACTTTTTGGTGAGAGAAATGATTTTCTTTTCATTCTCGGTGCTTCTTTCAGTATATTGAAACCGAACACATAATGATTTTGTGTTTTTTTGTCTGTACATGTATAGGTCAGGGTTGTCACAATGCAAGCAACGAAAAAGCATCATTGGCAAAGTGGTTAGAGTGTTGTCCAACCAACCCTAACGACCCTGGTTCGATCCCAGGAAATGTCTAGTGAGATTCGGTGCTTTTTTGCTGTTCTGGTCATGAAAACTTGGTTTTGAGCGATTTGTTGCGCAAATTTGGGCTTAGTACTTTTCGTTGATAAGCCTTGGGTTATGAAACTGTTCAGAGTTGCTAGAATCAATCTGTTTATAAAGAAAAAAATCAATCGTTTTGTTTAGATAAATATCAAATCATTTCAATGAGGGGCCGTTCACTTATGACGTCCGACAATTAGGGGGGGGGGGGGGGTCTAGGATTTTGTGACAGTTCAAACAATGGAAATTTTTTTCTATAGAATTTTTGTGACAGAGGGGGTTCTAAAAATCAGGTTTTTTGTTGGACGTCATAAGTGAACGACCCATGACCAATTCATCAAAAATCAATAATTATAGACAATAAGTCATCATTTGATGAATGCCTGCAGATCTAAACCACTTTTGCTTAACCTATCCCTTACCTTAACCTAAAATATAACTTCATAAGAGAACAAAAAATCTAATCTAGGTTTGAAAATCAACAAATCTTGACTCCCTCCCCTGACCACACTTATCACCAACTCTGGCAAAGATGATATTCATATAGACTTGGGTGACATTGCAGAAAATTTGTCTCTTATTGAAACACTTTCCATCTCACTTTCTCATGTTTTTCTTCTATTATACATTCACATATGAATGATTTTCCGTTTTGGATATGAAAATTTTCTTTTTTTGTCTTCTTTGAAGTTTCATCTTCTTTCGTCTCCGTTTCGTGTGAAAATATTTACACTGATTCATCGATTCTTTTGTGATTTTGAATTCTGTTTCATTGAAAAAAAGGGGGGAAGGGGGGGGGTGTCATTCTTTTAAGGGACACTTCTAAGTATTTTCTTTAGTTTTGTTTTTTTGTTTGTTTGATCTCAGCTTTTTTCTCAGCATTGAGAGAAGAACTAGTTGAAAAGTATGGAATTCAAAAAGTAGTGCATAGCAAAGTTTTAGTGGCTGTAGTAAAAACCTATTTTAGAACACTTCAAAAAAATTGTTGACAATTCAGAGGAGGGGGAACATAATTCCTGCATTTTATATTACGTATAAAGTAAATGCCACCCTAAAGTACTTACAGTACTTTATCAAAAATATATACAGCAACAATAAACCCACCATTTATGATTCATGACTACAAGGTGCAAAGTTGAATTTCTCCCCACACAATCTTATCGCAAAATTGATACAACAAACTCCCAACTCGTTATGCCTACAAAATATTTCAAAATATAAACATAAACAATCCTTTCCCATTTGTCAAGAGCTCCAACTCCTCTCCTTAAAAATGAAAAAATGAAAACAAAACAATCGCATTTTTTAAATTTTCTCATTTTTTACACAATATAAACAATTCAGCATGATACATATGTAAACATTATATGCATAAAAATAATCTCGCATTTAACAACCAACAACAGCAATAACAATATACATAGTATTATAAAAAGAGAGAAGCAAGTGGCACAATTGTGTGTCAAATGGTTTTAAACATTTTTATTTACCGACATTAAAGTGGAAAGACTGGAAGGAGATATAATGGGTCGGTTGTAAATGATATCTATAAGTTTTTAATATAAAGCAAGGTTTGATGCTGTGAAGCAGTTTGAGACGGCCCTGAAAGTCTAATTAATTATTAGACATCATTTATGAACGATCCCAAACATTAAAGCGGGGATGAAAGGGGGAGATGGGAAATATATATCAGTTTGTATCATAACAAAGCAGCAAAAAAGAATATACAACTTAGCATGAGAGCATAATAATCCATAGAGATATAACCATAAATGTGCATAAATTAAATGAAATTGTCTGAATATATGTGCATAAAAAATATTTTTTTTCATTCTGCACAACACTTTTTTCCTGCGTTTCTCTTCTGCTTTTCAATGGATTTAAATAAAATTCACGTCAAGAACCAGATTTGATGTTAACATATTCACATGCTTGCCTTTTTAAACGGCTGTGAACAACCTTTGACTTTTGAGTGAAGTTTTTATTCGGATATTGGAACTGAAATGCTTTATTAAGGATTTAATTTTTTAATTATTTGGGTCTTGTGCCATAATTTTGTGCATGTGAATAGAAAGTCTTCGCTTGCTTTTAAATTATCCTTCAGGGAATTTGTGGGAACAAGCTTAAAATGAGGATTTATAATGTTTAGGATGTTTAACAAGTTTCATCAACTTTTTGCAGACATTTTTTTCAATCCTGAGTTGCCATCTATCAAAAAACATGATTTTAGAAACAGAAATAAATTTCAATCACTCGATTGATTAGAGCCTTATTCTGAATTAATGAAATGCTCTAAAATAATATTAACAATTTTTATCAAGGCGTGGAAACTATCCCAAATGTCATATTTATCCCACATATCCCAAAAATATTCAAAACTAGTGTATCGGGTAGAAACCCAATGCGGATTATATTCACACCGTACTATCATAAGTCTTATGGATAGACCAAGATTTGCCCATCATAAGTATGAAGGTATGAAGCTTGATAAATCAACTAAGCTTCGCTCAGCATAAGTTTGAAGTTATAAAGCTATCGCGTAAGCTGAGCTACGCTCAGCATAAGTTTGAAGTTATAAAGCTATCGCGTAAGCTGAGCTACGCTCAGCATAAGTTTGAAGATATGAAGCTAGAGAGGCAGCTGAGCTTCGCTCAGCATAAGTTTGAAGTTATAAAGCTATCGCGTAAGCTGAGCTACGCTCAGCATAAGTTTGAAGATATGAAGCTAGAGAGGCAGTGGAGCTTCGCTCAGCATAAGTTGAAGTTATAAAGCTATCGCGTAAGCTGAGCTACGCTCAGCATAAGTTTGAAGATATAAAGCTATCGAGTCAGCTGAGCTACGCTCAGCATAAGTTTGAAGGTATAAAGCTTGACGAATATGCCAAATATTCTTTAAAAGTTTTTAAAAAAAAATTTTCATCCAAAGTTGAATTTTATAAAAATCACAGTCAACTTTTGTTTTAAAAAATTCGTAAGAAAGGAAAGTTTTTTGCCATTTCTGAAGCAACGGCTGTTCCTACCTTGCCCAAAAACAATACAGCTCTTCTATAGAGTAGCACGGATCAAATGTAAAAAACTAGAAGTCTCTACGATGTCTCGTTATTGAGATTTCTTGCTGATTAACTTGCTTGCTTGTTTGCTTGCTTGTTTGCTTACAGAAAGCGTATTTTGCGATTTTCTCAGCAATGCCACAACCAATTTGAAATCTGTTTTTTGAAAATGATGTAAAATTTCAGGCACAAACTTTTCTTCTTGCCCTTTTATAACCAATTTTGCTTTGTTTTCTCACAAAATGCGAAAAACTGATTTTTCAATCTGAACAAAACCAATAGATTCACACGTGAAAACGGTGTGAATATAAAAAATTCCTGAGCATGTAAGCACGATAATAAAGACATCCCAACGTATCCTTAGTGTATTGGACGTGTAATTTCAGGATATGATGGGATATCTCAATTCTAATGCATACAGGATTATTTGGGATGTATGGGATATTTGGGATAGTTTCCACGCCTTGATTTTTATTGACCTTAATAAACATTTTCAATGTATCATAGAACATAACTCTATGTTTATTCTGCTGATAAGATGAGCTGATAAGCAACCTAATAGCTTAATGAATGGTGTCCAACCTTTTTTGTACCACAGCACACCTCGATGGTATGATCGAAACCGCACACGGCTTATGGTTCGTGGAATTTTTCGAATTTTTTCTGGCGCATGGGTTGGCCATCACTGGCTTAATAACATTTCCAAGCTTAGTTCATTAACCTTTTATCAATAGATTATTACTGCATTGTGTTTGTAGTCTGAATTCATTTTCAACGAGAGTAGACGTGCATTAATAATTTTATTCTCTTAATTTGTACAAAAAATGTCAAGCTTTGAAGTCACAAAGAATTTCCCTCGAATCAGCCGAGAAAACATTAGTGTGAAATGCATTGATCAAAAATGGAAGAATTTTCCAAAAGCAATTTTACCGAGGATGTGTGCAGATAAATTGGATTTATATAAGAATTTCTGTATTCGTCCTGATGATATTTTCATTTTGGGATATCCACGATCAGGAACTTCAAGATTGCAGGAATTAGTTTGGATTATTGCAAATGATTTTGATTTTAAGACATTAGTGGAATATGATGCTGATGCTAGGTGCATTAATTTTGAGTAAGTTCATTTTGTTGATTCAAAAATCGTTCGATGAACTTTTTACAATTTTAATCTTCTAGAATTCGCGATTGGAGTTTGAAGTGGCGTGAAAAAACATTGATTAGCTCATTAGAAGACATGCCAAGTCCAAGATTAATGAAAAGTCATCTTCCAGCTCAACTATTACCAAATGAAGTTTGGACGAAGAAACCAAAACTTTTTTATATAAGTCGTGAAGTTAAGGACGTTGCAATCTCGCAATTTCATTTATTATCATGCTCATATTCAAATTCAATTAATTTTGATGATTATTTGGAGGATTTTTTGAATGATAATGTCATGTTTTCGCCATATCGAGAAAATCTTTGGAATTATTTGAACTTGCCGGATTATGAAAATATTTTGTACTTGACTTATGAGGAAATGTCTGCTGATTTAGATCTAGCGATTTGTAAAGTTGCAGAATTTTTGGAAAAATCTGTTTCGGATGAAAATGCTGAAAAGATCAAAGATTATTTAAAGTTTGAGAATATGAAAGGTAATAGCTAATATTTGAACTTAATATCATAATAATCCATTTAAGAAATAATTTTTACAGCTCGAAAAACAAACGACAATAAGCAGACATATAACATTTTATTAAAAGACTTAAACAGTAATAATCATAAGGATTATAACTTTATCCGCAAAGGAGTTGTCGGTGGATATAAGAACGAAATGTCAAGTGTTTATATTGATAAGTTTGACGAGTGGTTTGCAAAAAGTAAAAGTTTGAATCAAGGTTTCAATTATACAGAGAAATTCTGAATAAAGTGAAATTTTGAAAAACATAATTTTAAAATTATTCAATTGACTTGCCTGTATTAATATTAATATCTTATCAGTTTGAAGTTTATTGTTTCAATTAAAGTTCTAAACACAAAAGATATGGTTGGTGGTTTTAAAGATGAATTGCCTGAAAGACTTGAATAGACGTGAGTAGACAGAATTGATAATTGATAAATGGTTTAGTTTTAAAGATTGGCTTTTATCAAAAAATTACGTATCAATTTCTATGAAGCATTTTTAAACCATCTCCTGCTTTTTCAAATTAAGTAAGACACTTGAATCAATCTTCAAAAAGCAAGATATGATTTCTCATTCCTTCTTCTAAATAATAAACAACCTATACATACATAAGATTCGTTTCTGTTCATATAAACAAGTAGTGACTCGATTAAAAAGTTCATTCGTTCTGTGTTATTTCAAAAGATTAATCGTAGTTTTTTGTGTTAAAAATATGTCAGGTTTTCAAATTGAACAAAGCAAATCCAAATCTGCTACTTTTTTTGACGTTAAAACTTTGGATGAAAAGTGGAAGAACTTTTCCAAATGTGTCATAATGCCTCAAAATGTAGATAGATTTGATTCGTACAAGAACTTTTTCATTCGTCCTGATGATATTTTCATACTTGGATATCCACGATCAGGTACAACAAGATTACAAGAATTAATTTGGATTATTGCCAATGATTTTGATTTTAAAACTCTGATGGAATATGATTGTGGTACAAGAATTCCTTTTTTCGAGTAAGTTTTAAATTTGTGCATTTGTATCAGATGAATGAGGTGTAGATCCTAATTTACTGCTCGAAGAGTTTTTTGAGAGGTGTTTAATCTAAAAAAAGATACTGAAATAAATAGGCTCTCAATGATGGCTTGTAGTTATTGGTGACTGATTAGATTAAACTTAATTAAGACACTCATCAACTGTACCAATAATACTAAATTGTGACTTACAGATCACCTGAATTAAGTTTTGAACTTCGTGAAAAGCCATTGGTAACTTCATTTGAAGAGATGTCAAGCCCAAGGACAATTAAAAGTCATCTTCCAGTTCAATTCTTGCCTGATGAAATTTGGACAAAAAAGCCAAAATTAATTCACATTAGCCGTGATCCAAAAGATGCTATAATTTCACTATTCTACTTGCTAAATGATTTTTCACCAGTTCCAATAAAATTAGAGGACTTCCTAGAAGATTTTTTGTCAGATAATGTTTTGTATTGTCCTTATCGAGAGTATGTTTGGAACTTTTTGAACTTGCCAGATTATGAAAATATTTTGTACTTGACTTATGAGGAAATGTCGGCTGATTTGGATGGAACAATTCAAAAGGTTGGCAAATTTTTAGGAAAAACTGTGTCAGAAGAGAATGCCAGTAAGATCAAAGATTATCTGAATTTTGAAAAAATGAAAAGTAAGTAGAATCTGAATTATGAAGCACGAATAAACAATTTTACTCCTTTAAGATCGCAAAACAAATGACAATAAATTCGCTTATAAAAAAATGATGCAAATAATGCATCCAAATTTAAACAATGACGTAACTTTTATACGAAAAGGAGTCATTGGTGGATATAGAAGTGATATGCCTAAGGAATATGCTGACAGAATCGATTACTGGTATGCAGAAAGTGGAAATTTAAATCAAGGATACAATTATAAGAATTATGCTGCAATAAAAAAGATTTTTGGTTCTTAAATGAGTTTAAATAAGTTCATTTACCTTTAACAATAGATTATTAATTGTTTTGAATTTGTGGTTTAAAATTTACTTCTGATTACGTCGCTGGTATGATGCATATGTATTTATTGATAAGGAATTTTAAAGTTATGATAAGTGTTTGCTATTATTTCAAAACATTCAATCCAACAGTTTGCTTGTGGCTTTATTACATTACATTTGTTTATAAAAACAACTTAAATCTTAAACTTAGAAAAAAATGTCAGCTTTTAACATTGAAAAGAATAAATCACGTACATCACCTTATATTTGTGTTAAATGTTTAGATAAAAATTGGCAAAACTTCCCAAAATCAATTTTGCCAACCAATTATGCTGAAAGATTAGAATCGTTCAAAAGATTCTCTATAAGATCAGATGATATTTTTATTTTGGGATTTCAACGATCAGGAACAACAATGCTGCAAGAGTTAGTTTGGATGATTGTAAATGATTTTGATTTTCAGACTTTAATGGAATATGATTGTGAGGCTAGAGTGGTTTTCTTTGAGTAAGGAAAAATAAAGTCAAGAAGGATTTGAGAACTGGTTTTTAAGTTTAGAACTTGATATTATTTCTAGAGTTCCAGAGTTCAGTTTAAAATTTCGTGAAAAAACACTCGCCAATTCATTGGAAGAGATGAAGAGTCCAAGACTTATGAAAAGTCATCTTCCAGTTCAACTTTTGCCAGATGAAGTTTGGATAAAGAAGCCAACGCTTTTGTTTATCAATCGAGATGCAAAAGATGTTGCAATATCACATTATCATCTGCTTAATTCATTTTCTCCTACTCAATTTACATTAGAAGATTATTTGGAGGACTTTTTAGCTGATTCTGTTATGTACTCACCATATCGAGAGTATATTCAAAATTATTTAAACCTAAATGATTATCAGAACATTCTTTACTTGACTTATGAAGAAATGTCTGCTGATTTGAATGAAACCATTCAGAAAGTTTCACAATTTTTTGGTAAAACTGTATCTGATGAGAATGTTGACAGGATTAAAGATTATTTGAAATTCGAGAATATGAAAAGTACATCCTTTTATAAAAAATTAATTAAGTTTGAATGTTTTTTAAATTTTAAATTTTCTTAAAGACCGCAAAACAAATGACAACAAATTCGCCCACAAGATGTGGATGCAGTCCATAGATCCTAATTCCGAAAATCATATCAATTTCATCCGAAAAGGTATTGTTGGTGGATATAAAGATGAATTGCCTGAAGGATATGCAGACAGAATTGACAACTGGTATGCAGAGAGAATAAAATTTAATCGAGGATTTAGTTGTGAGGATTAAATGGTAAAGTCACTTATTCGAGCATTTCAAAACGTTCAAATCTGTCAGAAATAAAATTATATTGAAAAATTTAAATTTAATTAAATTGAGATAAGGTTTACACACCTCCTATTAAAGAAAAAAAAACCTATACCACTAAGACATGTTTGTTATCTGCTAATATAAAAAAAGAGTTGAACTGAAAAATAATTCACTTGTTTTGTGTTTCTTCAAAAGATTATTTGCAATTTTCTTAAAACATAATTTTTTGTAAAAATGTCAGTTTTTCAAATTGAACAGAGTGTTACACGCACAACTCCTTATTTCAATATCAAACGATTGGATGAAAAGTGGAAGCAATTTCCAAAATGTGTCAGTCCACCAGAAAATGTTGAAAAATTTGATTCGTACAAAAATTTCTCAATTCGTCCTGATGATATTTTCATACTTGGATTCCCACGATCAGGTACAACGAGATTGCAAGAACTAGTTTGGATTATTGCCAATGATTTTGATTATAAAACTCAATTGGAATATGATTGTGACACAAGGATTGTCTTTTTTGAGTGAGTAAATTATTAGCGTTTAGTTTTGTTTTCGGCATCGTACCAGCTAAGCTACTTTGGTACCAAACAGTTTATCTTGACCTTCTTTATAACTGTAACGTGTTTCCAAAATGCACGATATGTGATATAATTATCCCTCAAATGAAGGCATGTACATATTGTTTCCTGATAAGATTAAATCGAAATTATAACACTTATTAATTCCATTAAAAACAATAACATTTATCACGTGTAGAGCACCTGAGTTCAGTTTTCAACTTCGTGAAAAGCCGTTGGTAACTTCATTTGAAGAGATGTCAAGCCCAAGGACAATTAAAAGTCATCTTCCAGTTCAATTCTTGCCTGATGAAATTTGGACAAAAAAGCCAAAATTAATTCACATTAGCCGTGATCCAAAAGATGCTGTAATTTCACTCTTCTACTTGCTAAATGATTTTTCACCTACTCCTATGAAATTAGAAGACTTCCTAGAAGATTTCTTATCAGACAATGTTATGTATTGTCCTTATCGAGAGTATGTCTGGAACTTTTTGAACTTGCCAGATTATGAAAATATTTTGTACTTAACTTATGAGGAAATGTCGGCTGATTTGGATGGAACAATTCAAAAGGTTGGCAAATTTTTACACTCATAGAAAAAAAGTAACCATAATATTTGTTATATGTTTGTTAAACTAGTTTAACAAATTATTGATTAAGTTTACATGGGTAAAAAAAATTTCAACCAAACTATTTGTTAAAAATTTTACAATTGAGTTTGTTAAATCAACAAATTTATTTGTTAATAATTGATTTAATTAAATTTTAATTTTTGTATTCAAAACTCTTGTTTGATTAATTTCAAACGATTCCCATTAATTTATTGCGTTATTTTTAATGAGAAAACTGCTTTAAATTGAATTTTGTTGATTTTGTTTAACAAATTAATTTGTTAATTTTAACAAAACATTTGTTACAATGTTTTTATTTGTAATTTGTTTTGGAAAATAATGATTTACAAACCAAATTGTAATTTAAAAGTTAAATTTGTTCATTTTTTTAAGTCCTACATTTCTATTTTATTATTCATAAATTAATTTTAAAATTTGGATATATTTTTTAAAGAATTATTTATATTGGTTCTGAATCAAATTTTATAAGTAAAAGTTTACAAGCAGCGGACTAGCGGATCATCAACAGGAATTTAGAAGTTAAGCAACCACGGAAACATTTTAAAATAAGATGGGTGACCAAATTAACAATTTTCTGGTTAATATTAACCGAAAATTTGTTATTTTTTTCTGTAAAAAAAAATTTTAACAAAAAGTTTGTTAAATTAACAATTTTTATAGTTAACAATTCAACCTTACAAATAATTTGGTTAAATTTAACAAATAAGTTCGTAAACACTATTTTAACGAATTGTTTGTTAACATTTTCCATACAAGTTACAAACATTTTGTTACTTTTTTTCTATGAGTGTAGGAAAAACTGTGTCAGAAGAGAATGCCAGTAAGATCAAAGATTATCTGAATTTTGAAAAAATGAAAAGTAAGTAGAATCTGAACTATGAAGCATGAATAAACATTTTTATTTCCTTAAAGATCGCAAAACAAATGACAATAAATTTGCGCATAAAATGTGGATGCAAATTATTGATCCTAATTCCAAGAATGAGATAAAATTCATTCGAAAAGGCGTCATTGGTGGATATAAAAGTGATATGCCTAAGGAATATGCTGACAGAATTGACAACTGGTATGCAGAAAGTGGAAGTTTAAATCAAGGATATAATTATAAAAATTATGATGCAATAAAAAAGATTTTTGATTCTTAAATAAATTCAATTGTAGATTTTGCTATATTATTGAGTCTATTATAAGTTCTGTCCTGACTAATGCATTTGAATTTACGTCTTTTATTGCTGCTCAATTCCAGTAAACATTGTTATCTATGAACTATAGTATTGAGTATAGTAAAGTAAGAAGTATGTGTTTAATAATTAGTATTAATATTTTTTTGGAAGACCTGATAACAATTCTTATCTTTCCTGTGTTTACAAATTACATTCTGTGTCAGTATTAATCATAACAAAAAACTCTCATTTTCATTCAGTGCACTTTTTGAATTGAAATAGTAAACACTAGTTATTTTTGTAAAATACAATGTCGTTTGAAATTATTGGAGATAAAGCTAACCCTCTTTCAAGTCTTCAAGTTAAACGATTAGACGGCAAATGGAAAAATTTTCCTGCATCAATTTTACGTCCTTTACATGCTGAAAAATTAGACTCTTTTGTAAACTTTCCCGTCAGATCAGATGATATTTTTATATTAGGATATCCACGATCAGGAACTTCAAGATTGATGGAATTAGTTTGGATAATTGCTAATGATTGTGATTTTGAGACATTGTTGGAATATGATGCTGATGTGAGAACTGTTAGCTTTGAGTAAGTTATTGGTTTATATGCTTAAATGTTGTCATTTGTATAAGATCTTTAAATGATGTAAAAAAATATTTTGTAATGGCAAGCTTGTTAAGTGATCGACTATTAAGAATAATCGCTCATAAATTTATAGAATACAATGAAGTTTCAAGACTTAAGCTTGCTTAAAGAGCAACGATATTTAAGTTATGAAGCGGCAAAAAAAGAGAGTTTGGACATTGGTAACATCTTAATTCCACGTTCAGTTGTCAATCAAAAAATGCACAATGAGATCCAAAAACTATTGCTTACTTATTATCGTGTATTAATACTTTTCTATGTGATAAGATTAAATTTTTGGACTTACCTCAGCCATTTCTGTTGCTAATGAAAAACTATGTTCTCACAATTTAGGATCCCAGAATGGAGTTTTGAATGGCGCGATAAATTTTTGGCGAAATCATTCGAAGAAATGAAAAGTCCAAGATCCATGAAATGTCACCTTCCAGTTCAACTTTTGCCTGATGAATTCTGGACGAAAAAACCAAAATCTTTTTACATAAGTCGTGATCCAAAGGATGTTGCAGTCTCACAATATCACTTTACCAATACAATTCCGATAAATCCAAAAACATTAGAGGATTTTTTGGATGATTTTATAGCTGATAAGATTCCTCATGGTCCATATCGAGAGAATATGTGGAACTACATGAACTTACCAGATAATGAAAATATTTGCTATTTTACTTATGAGGAAATGTCTGGCGACTTAGGTGGTGCTATTAAGAAGGTTGCTGACTTCTTGGGAAAAATTGTAACAGAAGAAAATACCGAAAAGATTAAGGATTACTTAAAATTTGAGAATATGAAGAGTGAGTTAATTATTTAATTTAAAACAACAGATTTTTAAATTTTTAATACCTTTTTAAGAGCGCAAAACAAACGACAACAAATACACATATCAATTTATTATGGATAAAGCTAACATCAAATCAGAATTGAATTTGAATTTCGTTCGGAAAGGTGTCATTGGTGGACACAAAACTGAAATGTCTCAAGAATATGCTGACAAAATTGACAAATGGTTTGCAGAAAGTAAAAATCTCAATCAAGGATACAATTTTAAGGAAGATGTTGGAGTAAAATAGTTGATTTAATATAGCTTTAAAGATTCAAATTGCAAAGTTTAAATATTTTACATAACCAGTTCCTTGAAATCTGTTAATAATGCAATATTCTAGTAAATGATGTAATCTATGAATGAACATTATTATCAAGTATAATAAACTTAAAAGCATGCATTTAAAAAACATTCTTCTTGTAAAGTCTGATAACATTTATAATCTTTCATGTGTTTACAAATAAACTCTGTGTTGGTATTAATTAAAGCTAAAACTCTCATTTTCATTCAGTGCTATTCGTAAATTAAACTAGAAAACACAGTTTTAAGTGATTTATAAAAAATGTCGAAATTTCAAATTACAGAAGTTGATGCTGTTTCTATTCCAAGTGTTAGTGTTAAACGATTAGATGATAAATGGAAAAACTTTCCTGCATCAATTTTACTTCCATTACATGCTGAAAAGTTAGACTTTTTTGTAAACTTTCCCGTCAGATCAGATGATATTTTTATATTAGGATATCCACGGTCGGGAACTTCAAGATTAATGGAATTAGTTTGGATTATTGCTAATGATTGTGATTTTGAGACATTGTTGGAAAATGATGCTGATGTGAGAACTGTTAGCCTCGAGTAAGTTATTAGTTGTTTTTATTCATCATTGAGTTAAGTTGACAATTAAAATGTACACGATTTGAGTCGAAAAATTGTTGTTTACTTACATTTTTTATTTCACGTGTATAAAATAATTTGCTTAGCGATAAGATTAAATTTTAGTACTCAATTCAGGCATTTGTGTTTACTTACAAAATACAATTCATTTAGGATCCCAGAATGGAGTTTTGAATGGCGTGATAAATTTTTGGCGAAATCTTTCGAAGAAATGAAAAGTCCAAGATCAATAAAATGTCACCTTCCAGTTCAACTTTTGCCTGATGAGTTTTGGACGAAAAAACCAAAATCTTTCTACATAAGTCGTGATCCAAAGGATGTTGCAGTCTCACAATATCATTTCGCTAATTCATTTTCAACCAATTCAGGAAAATTAGAGGAGTTTTTGGATGACTTTATGGCTGATAAGATTCCTCATGGTCCATATCGAGAGAATATGTGGAACTACATCAATTTACCAGATAATGAAAATATTTGTTATTTTACTTATGAGGAAATGTCTGATGACTTAGGTGGAGCTATTAAAAAAGTTGCTGATTTCTTAGGCAAAACTGTATCTGATGAAAATGCTGAGAAGATCAAAGATTATTTGAAATTCGAAAATATGAGAAGTGAGTTAAATCAATTTTTTATAAATTAATGGATTTTAAATTTTTGATTTCAGCGCGCAAAACAAATGACAACAAGTTCACTCATCAAGTTTATTTGGATAAAGCAAATCTTAATTCAGAATCAAATCTGAATTTTATTCGAAAAGGTGTAGTTGGTGGACATAAAACTGAAATGTCTCAAGAATATGCTGACAAAATCAACAAATGGTTTGCAGAAAGTAAAAATCTCAATCAAGGATACAATTTTAAAGAGGAGGATGCAGGAACAAAGTCAGACTGAAAGTTTTAAACTAAATTGTCAATAACAATTTCAAGTTATTTTTTTATTTTTTTAAAATTAGATTGTAGAAAATTTATTTTCAGGAAATAAAAACTTAAATTTAATCATTAGACTTTAATTGATTTCGAACTTTTAAAAGCTGTTCGTCGCCTTCAAATTATGCAACTTAATCAAAAAAGTCTTTAATTATTTTTTTAAATCTTCAAGTTTCTTTAAAAAATATCCAAAGTGTATGTTGATGAAAAATAGAAATTTTAAAAAAAGCTCGATAAGCTTCGCACACCCACTTTTAGCTTTCTGTTGTTGAATATAAAAAGGTTTCAAAAATGAAAAAAAATGTTCATTCAATTCTAGTTTGCCATACCATAGTGAGGCATCAACAGTGTCCATAAGAAAATTCAAAATTAAGAAACAAAAAATGTCGGTCTTTAAAATTGAAGAAAAATCATCAAGAACCGCTCCTCAAGTTACCGTAAAGCGTTTAGATGACAAGTGGAAAAACTTTGCAGGCTCAACTTTGCCACCGCAATATGTTGAAAAATTAGAATCATTTAAGAACTTTTCGGTAAGACCTGATGATGTCTTCATATTAGGGTTTCCAAGGTCTGGAACGACGAGATTACAAGAATTGGTTTGGATCATTGCAAATGATTTTGATTTTGAGACACTGATGGAATATGATTGTGATGCGAGGATTGTGTTTTTTGAGTAAGTAAATGTGCTAATTAGGGGTGTGACTGGTCATTGGGAATAAGATATTAAATTTGATTTGCTGCTATTACCAAATCTCAAACTTAGGCAGGTTCAGGAATCATTCAAAACTTCAATTTGACCTTTTAACTGCCAAAATCTTTATCAATTTGACCTTTTAACTGCCAAAATATTTATGATCATTCACGTGATATCAATAATTTAGCGATAATTTCCACGTTTCCTTGTTATCAATTAGAAAATAAAGATAGCCAAAATTGTATATGAACAACGTAAACATCAACTTGTGAACTGTTTTAAAAATTGCATGGAAATAAGATAACATAAAAAGTATTAATTCCATAAATATTAATCAAAAATCACGTTTAGGACGCCTGAATGGAGTTTCCAGCTTCGTCAAAAACCACTAGCAACATCATTTGAAGACATGAAGAGTCCAAGAACAATGAAATGTCATCTTCCAGTTCAACTACTTCCTGATGAAGTTTGGACAAAGAAACCAAAGCTATTGCACATTTCACGTGATCCAAAGGATGTTGCTGTGTCTGATTATCATCTAATGAAGAACTTTTCTCCAACTCCAATTAAACTTGAAGATTTTTTGGAAGATTTCTTATCAGATGCTTTGATGTATACGCCATATCGAGAGTACATTTGGAACTACTTAAACTTACCAGATTATGAAAATATTTTGTATTTGACTTATGAGAATATGTCTGCTGATTTAGAAGGAACTATTCAAAAGGTAGCTGACTTTTTGGGCAAAGAACTGACAAAAGAAAATTTGGAAAGAATTAAAGATTATTTAAAGTTTGACAACATGAAAGGTTTGTGAAAATTAAATTATCAAAAATTCTAGTGACTGACTATTACTTTTAACTTAGCTCGCAAAACAAATGATAATAAAGAGACATTTCAAATGATGGGCCGAACAGCAGATGCTAGTAAAAACTTTGAATTTGTTCGAAAAGGTGTTATTGGTGGATATCGAAAAGACATGTCTAAGGAATATGCTGACAGAATTGACAATTGGTATGCCGAAAGTGGAGGACTTAATCAAGGATATAATTATAAGAATTATGACGCAATAAAGAAAACTTTTGGTTCTTAAAAATATACAGTTGTAATTTACTTTTAAGGTCTGAGATTTTGTTTTATTGTTTCAATTTGTGGCAAGGGGAAGAAAGGTCTAAGTCTAATAAGTTATCAGCACCACATATCGTTATTTACGAACGCAATTGAACGAACATTTAAAGAACAATCTGGATTAATCTATAAAATGATTTCAAGCAATATCGTACAAAATGCAAATGTTTTGTTTCAAGGAAAAACCTAATTAGTGATAATTAATTATTGGGAAGTTCCAATCAAGCTTCAACTGTTATGAAATATTGGGAAGCTGCAGGGGTGTAGCCAGGGATTTGAAGGAGGAAGGGGGATCAAATCTGAATGCTGGGCTCATATCTAATCAACGCCAGAATATTGCCAGATTTCTATTCGATTAACCGAGTTGTACTATTCGGGTATGTTTCTAATAGTTACCTACTTGATTCACTGAATGACATCTAAATGTATGATGATGAAATCAATGGAAATTACAAGTATTTAATAAATAGAAAATATTTTATTTTTTTCCTATAACAATTTCATGTTAAACCTGTGCATATATAATCTGTTAACTATACCTTAGATCAGTCATTTGAATGTCAGTCACTGACATTCACAATTATAGCAAGTGAAAAATGTCAGTTTTCCAAATTGAAGATAGAGAATCAAGAACGAATCCTTACATCAGCATCAAGCGATTAGATGAAAAGTGGAAGAACTTTCCAAGATCGATGTTGCTTGCTGATTATGCTGACAAATTGGATTTATATAAGAATTTCTGTATTCGTCGTGATGATATTTTCATACTTGGATATCCACGATCAGGAACAACAAGATTGCAAGAATTGGTTTGGATTATTGCAAACGATTTTGACTTTAAGACTCAATTGGAATACGATTGTGACACGAGAATTGCATTTTTTGAGTAAGTTTTTGTGATTTCAAAGTTTTATTAATTTAGATTTTAATTTTATTAAATTTAGTAATCCTGACTGGAGCTTTAAATTAAGGGAAAAGCCACTGGCACAATCATTTGAAGATATGAAAAGTCCAAGAACGATGAAGTGCCATCTTCCAGTTCAACTACTTCCTGATGAAGTTTGGACGAAAAAGCCTAAACTTATCTACATTAGACGTGATCCAAAAGATGTAGCAACTTCTCATTATCATCTTGCAAATGCTTTTTCTCCTAATCCAATAAAGTTTGAAGATTATTTAGAGGATTTCTTATCTGATGGAATTTTGTACACTCCGTATCGTGAAAATGTTTGGAATTATTTGAACTTGCCAGATTATGAAAATATTTTGTACTTGACTTATGAGGAAATGTCTGCTGATATAGATGGAACTATAATCAAAGTTGCTGAATTTCTGGGCAAAACTGTTTCAATGGACAATGCCGAAAAGATCAAAGATTATTTAAAGTTTGAGAACATGAAAAGTAAGTTTTAAAAACTAATTTTACACATTTTTTAATTTGATTTTTTAAGGTCGCAAAACAAATGACAACAAATTTGCTCACAAGATGTGGATGCAGCCTCACGATCCAAACACCAAAAATGATTTAAATTTCATTCGAAAAGGTGTAGTTGGTGGATATAAAGATGAAATGCCAAAAGATTTTGCTGACAGGATTGACAATTGGTATGCAGAAAGTGGAAATTTAAATCAAGGATATAATTTTAAGGATCATTTTAGAGCTATTTTTAAGAACGGTTGAATCATTCAAAAATCAAGTTTTTTTCATATGTGGAGCTTGGAATTTAAAAAACATTTAAAATGCAATAAAAAAATTTTTTTGTTTTTATCAGTTTGATTTATAATTAAGTCAATGAACTCTAGTTATTTTAGTGATTGTTCTAGCTTTTATAAAGATTAATCATGTTTATTAGTAGATAAACTTTAAAAACTATGGCTTAAAAAATGAAGGCATTTAAAAAAACTGCCCCCTAAATCCATCACTGGTTGCACAATTAAGAGATAAGACTGAAAAACCATTTTATCTGTATCAGAAGTGTAGTCAGGTATTTTTTAGTAATTAGCTTCTGTTTTCATTCATTCAATCTTCAGTTTGTATTATTTGAAACATAACCTTTATGAGAGTCCCTCCCTGGATACACCCTAGCACTCTTGATATTTTCTATAAAATAACAAAAACCAGTTTTTTAATTCAGTTTATTTTAAGATTCTGAAGTTAAATGACTCAAACATTAAAATGTCTACTTTTGAGGTAAAAATTAACACTTCATGTGGATATACAAGCATTAAATGCCTAGATGAGAAATGGAAAAACTTTCCGATATCAAATTTGCCACCAAAAGTTGCTGATAATTTAATGACAGTCAAAAATTTCTCAGTTCGTCCACACGACATTTTTTTGTGTGGATTTTTACGATCAGGAACAACAAGACTGCAAGAACTAGTTTGGATTATTGCAAATGATTTTGATTTTAACACACAAATGGAATTTGATTCTAAAGCCAGAATACCGACTTTAGAGTAAGTTTGATTATGGATACAAACTTAGTTTTTCACTAAACTTTATTTAATTTTTTTAAGAACTCCCGAATGGAGCTTCAAATTGAGAGAAAAACCTTTTGCCAACTCAATGCAAGAACTACTAAATCCAAGAGTCATAAAAAGTCATCTTCCCGTGCAATTGTTACCTGATCAAATTTGGACAGTGAAGCCAAAAATCATCTTCAATAGTCGAGATCCAAAAGATAATGTGATTTCATTTTATCACTTATTAAACACTTATTCTTCAGTTCCACTTTATCTTGAGGAGTTTTTAGATAAATTTATATCCGACGACCTTGTATACACTCCATACCGAGAATATATTTCGAACTATTTAAATTTGTCCCAATTTGAAAACATTTTGTGCCTGACTTATGAAGATACGTCTGCTGATTTAGATGGAACAATTCAAAAAGTCGCTCACTTTTTGGGCAAGACTGTTTCAACTGAAAATGTGAAGCTGATTAAAAATTATTTAAAATTTGAAAACATGAAGGAAAAGTTTGGCAAGGATAAAATAAGTGGAAATCATGAGCATGATCAGAAAATAGCGGCCCAGTCACTAGATCCTAACTCAAGAAATAATCGAGCATTCTTTCGAAGAGGAATTGTTGGTGGATTCAAAGATGAAATGCCTCAAGAATATGTAGACAGGATTGATGATTGGTATTCAAAAGCTGGAAGTCTCAATCAAGGATTTAATTTAAGAGACTAAGAAATATTTGATATACGTCATTTATAAACGTCTCTAAAGTTCTTTTTGATCAGGTTCTGTAAAATAGTTGTAGCTTAATGTTCTTAAAGGCACAAACAAAAAAACCTCAAGTATCATTTAGCAAATGAAAAACGTAGATAATTGCTTTTTTTACTCCGCATTCATATGCAACTGCTTTATCTAGAAAAAGTCATAAAAGTAAGGGAAATAAAGGAAAGAGGATACTTTTGAATGCATTATTTATTGTTGGTCAGACAATAAAATAAAGAATCCTTTATGAAAGGGGATAAAAGTGAACGTAAAAGGCGAAGATAATCTCAGATGTTAAAGGTTCTCTCTTTTATTTCAAATAGCAACAGCTTTTATGGAAATTAAAAGAACAGAACAGGATGGAAAAAGCTTTTTTAAGAGCATAAAGGAAAAATTTACATTTTTTCAGCTCGGATTTTCCCACTTAATGGTGAATTTTTTTTTCTGTTGCTGCAAAATAGGTCATGCGAGGACTTTTATCGTTAATGAGGGTTACGTGATGAAAATTGTTTGTTATTTTTGTTTTATCCATGGACAGATTTTATTATGTCATCTGTGAAATTAAGCTTGTTACCTGAGATGGCAATAGATTTTGATGCTAAGTGATTGCTCATTAATGGTGTCTACCATTTAAAAATTAAAGGAGGGGAAGGGGGGGGGGGGGGCATCGATACCATTTGATCAGAATTCAAGTTAAAATTAATTCGTTTAAATGAAAATGTTCGTCTCAATACAGTTGATGAGGGGGGGGGGGGGGGGGGGGTAGAGTGTTAGAAATCAAATCAAAGCTCAGGTGCTTACTTTGTTTCGGAGCTCTTATGTAAGCAGCACAACGCGTTAATCAAATTGGTGCAAAACAGTCATAGCTGAGACCCTAACGAGCAGAGAACAAATTTGGTTTCCAGAGAAAAGAGTAAGAAGATTTGAACTAGTTTATGCGTCTATAGCCTCATTGTTGCTACAACTTACATGTTGAAAAAGGTTTTCGCATTTTCTACATTCCAAATTCTCAATTTTAGGTGTGAAAATCATTTTCTTTATGCAAAGCACTCAGCTAACTTACATTTACATTTAATTACATTGCCGCTCCTCTTCAGAACTTATAAACATAAAGTGGAAGAACATTTGACAGACAAACTTCAAAACAAAAACCAAAATTTCCATCTAAAATTTATTACACGCTGAAAAACTTCAGAACATGCTTGAAAGTGTAGCACAAAAGCGAGTCTATGGGAATGAAAATTGTTTATAGTGTAATTCACACATCATTTTCTGCATGTACATACATAAATTTTAAAAAAAAACTTTTTTTTTTGCTTCTCATAAACACATTCTACACATAGAATAGATATGTTTATCTGTGTATCTATACGGATTGTTCACATACTTTATAGCATCTGAGGATCTAAGTATAGTCAAATGAGGTTTGAAAAATACGAAATAGAGGATTTTTTTGATGGGGTAATAGAAAGTTTATGATGAATGAATTGGATCGATAGCGCAGTGGTCTATTTTCAAGTGATTAAGAGCTGTAACGTCAATGTATGAATGGCCCGTTATGTTATCATTCGTGACTGAATAAGTTTAATCACTTCTTTGAATTTGCTTACTTTCTTCATTGGCTGATGCGCACGTGGACTCATTGCCACGCTTAGAGATCGTATGAAGACAGTTCTATTCTTATAAACCTTCTGACAGTTTGGGATATTACCTTATTTCAACAAACCAATCCACGAGTTCTTCGGTCTTCCTCGTGATCTCTTGGCATCCATCCTTCTTTGAACTAATCGATTTGAATAATAAATCGAATAAAATCTCCAATATTCTAAAAACCCCCAATCATCCAAGAAGCCCCCAAAAGAAAGCTAACGTGAAAGATGGAAAAGGATTGATTGCGATGGTAAAATGAACAGCATTGTAGTTGTTTTGAAAGTGATGCAATAAACTTTTTCTATACAAAACAAAATATTTTCTCTCTCGTTATTTATAAGTAAGTAAAGTGTTGTATCTAACAAAAAGTGATTAATTTCTGTCAGAATATATTGTGTATATTTTCATCTCGAAACTCTACAAATAAATGAATGGATGGTGTGTGAGCTTTTTCTGTGTACAAGACAAACTTTTTTTTATTTTCCTTGTTTAACTTTCTAAACAAAAAAAAATCTCATTTCATGCTCTCTCGTTCACAATTCGTTACAACTCCTCTTATTGATGTTGATGCTACATTTTCTCTTCTTTTTTCTGTGTTCAGCTTTCAAGTCCTAATATGAAATGGGACAAAATTTCCGTTCAAATTTCCTGTTAAACATCAATCAACTGGGAAAATTGGAAAAATGACTGGGGTGATGGGAGTGAGATGGAGAGTGATCTGTAGATACAGATGAAGCGCATGATGAGGAAACAATTCAGTGTAGAGGACGAATCAATATTTGAATATTTTGTAGGAAGCAGTCAGGGGTTTTGTAAAAATTGATGAAGAGTATTTTAAAGTTTTAACTTTAAGCACTTTGTGCCATCAAAAAAATCACCTACCCCCATCCCTTCCAAATTCCACTGTCACAAAATTTTCTTTTGTATTGTGACGTCAAGAAGTCTCAGTTCCCACCTTCTTCCCCTTAATAATGGACTGTCATAAGTGAATGACTCCAAAGTAGTCAACATCAGCATAAACATCAACAAGGAATCTCCACAAAAATTCAAATCCTCTGCAAACAATCTATAGTCATGACATCAACAAATTCTCCATCCTGCACCTCCTCTCGGTTAATATCACAAAACTCAAATTAATCCGGAGAGTCACTTGACTAGCAGTGACCGAAAATTCACTCCCATTTTGACCAGTTTCATTAAGGAAATTACTTTCGTTTTACTTCCGATTACATTCCATATTCATATACATGCATGAATATGCCATTCAAATGATGTAATCGAGATGAGAAGTAGGAGGATACAGAAGAAATTTTCTGCTCTGATAAGATTAAATAAAAACATTTTTTTCCCTCTTCTCTTTATTCAATATTACTTGATATTGCTGTTGGTGCTGTCTCATTCAAATTCATTTGCATTTAGAGAAAATTTTCAACAAATAGACTGAAATGAAATGGTCAATAGACGTGATTATGCACGACTGCTTACTGAGAAAATGTTTTAATATCTCAACAGATGTGAAATTCAATTTCTAAAATCAATTGAGGTAGAAATGAAAATAGAGATAAATTAAATAAAGAAGAAGAAATAAAGCGCATTTTAATTTTTGGATGATTTCGGTTCAATTTATTTAAACTTAATTCAATATTTTTTCAATTCAGTCCAACATAATTCGATTCAGTTCAGTTCAATTTGGTTCAATTCAGTTCAATTTAGTACAATTTAATTGATTTCAATTAAATTTAATTCAGTTTTGTTCAATTCAGTTCAAATTACTTCAATTCAGTTTTTAGAAGTTCAATTTAGTTCAGTTCAGTTTAATTCGGTTAAATTTAATTCATTTTGGTTCAATCCAATTTAGTTTACTTAAGTTCAATTCAGTCCAGTTGAATTCAGTTGAGTTCAGTTCAATTCAGTCGAGTTCAGTTCAAATAAGTTCAATTCAGTTCACTTAAATTTAATTCATTTCAGTTGAATTTATTTGAGTTCAGTTCAATTCAGTTCAGTTCATTTTTTTTCAATTCTTTTCAGGTCAGTTGATTTCAGTTAAATTCAATTCATTTTTGTTCAGTTCAGTCCAATTTTGTTCACTTAAGTTCAATTCAGTTCAGTTGAATTCAGTTAAGTTCAGTTCAATTCAGTCGAGTTCAGTTCAATTAAATTCAATTCAGTTCACTTAAATTTAATTCATTTTAGTTGAATTTATTTGAGATCAGTTCAATTCAGTTCAGTTCATTTTTTTTCAATTCTTTTCAGGTCAGTTGATTTCAGTTAAATTCAATTCATTTTTGTTCAGTTCAGTCCAATTTATTTCACTTAAGTTCAATTCAGTTCAGTTGAATTCAGTTAAGTTCAGTTCAATTCAGTCGAGTTCAGTTCAATTAAGTTCAATTCAGTTCACTTAAATTTAATTCATTTCAGTTGAATTTATTTGAGATCAGTTCAATTCAGTCCAATTAAGTTCAATTCAGTTCATTTAAGTTAAATACGGTTCAGTTGAATTTTTTTCAATTCTGTTCAGGTCAGTTGATTTCAGTTAAATTCAATTCATTTTTGTTCAGTTCAATCCAATTTAGTTCAGTTAAGTTCAATTCATTTCAGTTGAATTCAGTTGAGTTCAGTTGAATTCAGTCGAGTTCAGTTCAATTAAGTTCAATTCAGTTCACTTAAATTTAATTCATTTCAGTTGAATTTATTTGAGTTCAGTTCAATTCAGTTCAGTTCAATTTTTTTCAATTCTGTTCAGGTCAGTTGATTTCAGTTAAATTCAATTCATTTTTGTTCATTTCAGTCCAATTTAGTTCACTTAAGTTCAATTCAGTTCAGTTCACTTGAATACAGTTCAATATAAGACAATTCAATTTAAATCATGTAAATTCAATTCAATTCAAAATCGTTCCTTTATCCTACTCAATAAAACCATCAACTCAGCCACTTCAAAAGCACACTTAACCTCCTTTCCTGTTTGAAAAACTGTACAGAAAAATTATTTCATATCAAACAAGAGCACTGCAGTATTCACATGAGGAAAAAAAGCAGATCAATTTGAATGTGATTCTTGAAAATCTTGATTGCATTTCATTGCAAATACTTTTGAATATTACTTCCGGGTAAAATGATTTTCATATATGAGTGAATCCTGAATAGAACTATGTATGCATAAATTTTAAAATCGAATGTTTTCACATTTTTAAGGAGAGTTTTAAAATAATTGAGGGATGAAGGATTTGAATTGTCGGAATACCTAGAAATGGTTTTAAAGCAGAACAAGAATTGATTTAAGGTTGAATTCTATAACTTGCGTTAAAATATTTTGAAAATTGAAAGAATATCCTGAAAATCTATCAATAAAACTTGCTTTTCAACTCTCATTTAATTTTGAAACTTCAATTTTAGATTCAATTAATTTAGTATTTTGAATTGAGAATCATTTGAATTTGAGTGATTGATCTTAAATGAAATGCTTTTAAAAATCTAAGCCTGCATATCTTTTATTATATTATGGAAGAGTTTGAATAAATCTCAATAATTACAGTCTGCAGCACTTAAAACATCCATTACAAAAATGAATTTTCAATGTTCTTTCGTCATTTGAATTGCAAACTTATCCACATACTTTCTACAAATTGTGTCTCATTTTTTGAACTCATTAGTATCTCACCTTTCAACCTCTCCATTCAACAGCATCCGAATATTATTCATTTATTCAAATTCACACTTAAAATGCTGCAGTGATGAGAGATTATGAAATATTCAATGCAATCATCCTGAAATGAAGGAAACTCAGCAGCCTGAATCAACCCTTTTCAACAAATTTTTCAATTTTTTTATTTGTATTTTTACGGTATGTGAGATCTATTCAGTAAATAAGCATAGATTTGAATGGAACGTGTTCGTATATGATGGTAAAAATGGAAATCTCTCACAATCACTTTTACCTTTCTTTTCTTTCAAGTCATGCATACATTTATTATGTATCATACACAAAAGGATGATTTTTGGGAATGAGGTGGAGGTGGGGAGGCTTGAGTGCATTTTTCCATGCAATTAATTTTGTAATTCTGATTGTTAACAGTTAAATTGTTATTCAGGGAGTTAAAGCAGATATAAGGTTCAGTTAAAATAGGGCCTTATGATGGTCACAATCTGGTCATTATCAAGACGAGCCTTAAGAACTGCATTTGAATTCCCAACTCAATACAGCGTTTGCTCTGAGTTAGCATTTAAAAAAGCCTTAAGACTGTGCCTAGTCCAACAACGGTTTATATTCACCTTCAAATGAAAGCACAAGGTTCGACCTTTTTTACCTTATTCATTCATTGATATCATATTACCCAAAACAAACTAGCCAAACTTCAAACGCTTTTCCTTTTTGGAACCACATTACAGATTCAAGTCAAAGGTTTCCTGAATTACAAAACACTGTATAAAATCTTTTATGTAACATTTGATACCTTTCATTGAATTTTCTGTTGCTTTGATGTGATGATGAGGTATTGTAACAAACGTAACCTTAAAATGAGAATGAAGTGATGAAATGGAAATAATGGCAAAGGAGAAAATGTTGTTTTGTTGAGGTTCGATGGTTTCCTTATGAATTGATATTGAGAATTGGTTCCTTTCCTAAATAGCAGAAGTTGAATAATTGAGACAAAATTCTACGTCAGGACGAGAAATTTGCAACGCGTCGTTCTAGTTTAGGATTTCGTTTCGATTATCCGACTTACTATTTGGGTTTATTGAGCTATGGGGCCGTTCACTTATTACGTTCGCATTTTAGGGGGGAGGGGAGGTTTGAATAATTGTAACAAAATGTAACATAGGGGGGGGGGGGGGTGTCAAGAGGTATGTAACGATCTAACTGTCGTCTGTCTTTTAAAAAAAAGTTCACGAAAAAAATTTGTTTACTCGACCTTTTTATCAAAATAAAATAAATTATGAACGTTCAGGTGGGGGGGGGGGGGGGTTGTGAATTGTAACATATTGTAACAAGAGGGGGAGGGTGAAAAAGTCATTTTTTGCGTAACGTAATAAGTGAACGCCCCCTATTTGGAATTAATATAATGTTGCCTTTTTTAAAAATTTGAATTTTATTGGTAATAATTTATAATATTTTAAATCAGGAACGTAAGTTGGATTTTTTAGACTTGATTTTAAAAATCACAGACTCTAATCAGGCCAAGGGCTGGTTCTTAAAACTCCAATGGTTATTCAACGTTAGTGAAAATCATATTTTATTCAATATTGTAGTACATCTAATTTAAATTAAAGTAGAGTGACTCGAGGAGCTGAAGAATCGGGCCTATAAGTAGATTTTTGATCGTCTGCACCACCTTTCGTTCTTAATTAATCCATATCTAATTCCAAAAACCTAAAGATGATGAATAACTTTCCTATTTTCAATCAAAAATCGTCCGATTGCATTTGAAATCATTTCTGGATCATTCAAGTGGAAGTAATGAGAATCTGAGTCAATAACTTCCAGTTTAAATTTTGGATTCTGCTGAAATGTTTTAATAAGATTATCAAAATATTTGAACTTTGCATACAAAGGCGATGACTGTTTGGTTGTGAAAAAGAGAAACGGAATGTTGATCCTTTTAGCACTTTCAATAGCTGTACTTTCAGGATGTGTCATTAAAATGATATTCTTCAGTCTTGGATCTCGTGAAAAGTAAAATTTATCTGGATACTTTGAGGATCTTGTGATGTTTCTATCAAGTAAGTATGGAGCACTTTCAGTTGTGATGTTAAAGAAGCTTCCAGTATTGACTCTCTCGATCATTTCTTCAACTGTGTAGCTTGGTGGCTCCGAACTTGATCGGATTCTCTCATCAATAACCATGAAGTTCAATATACCATCTTTTACATCACTTAGTTCTTGCTCATATGTTCTGTCTAAGTTTTTAAAACTGTCAATTTTAATAAGCAAGTCCATTTTTTCTGGAAAGATTGATGCAAATAGAAACGAAACCATTGCACCCATGCTGTGTCCTAATAAGCTGATCTTATCCCATTTGTATTCCTTCATGACATACAGAACTGCAAAGATATTGTCAAAAACATTGTAAACAACACCATCAGGCAGCCAACAACTTCTTCCATGTCCAAGAAAGTCAATAGCTAAATATGAAAAATCTTTCGGCAACAACGGAATCAAACGATCAAAAGTTCCAGCATTATCTTGCCATCCATGCAGACATAAAATTGGTTTTGTATCTAAATCACCCCACCATTTACCAGCGATGAAGCCTCCGCTCGGTAAGTTTATTTTTATTTCTGTGACCTTGAAAATTAAAAAGTATTAAAAATTGAACTTTGAACTTCAATTGCTTGACTTGACTTACTTTAATGTTGTGTAGCTGCTGATTTTTAAACTTTTCTAACTCTTTAAACATTTTGAATTTTAAAACTCATTAGATTTTATTTTCAAATATTGAAATAAATATTAAATATGTTCAAGCAGCGAACTTCGATTGTTTTGTATGTGCTACAATACTGAATAACACATGCAGACTATACGCAAACACAAACAGTAGTGAAAAAAAAACTCAGAATGAATATTTTAATAGAAACGTTGAAAGTTATTTTGTACGACAGGTCAACGTTTAGGCTGTCAAATGAACGTTTTGAGCACTTTTGTTGATAAGATAATCTTATCGGAGAGTTGCGAATAATATTACAAATTATAATTTGGAATAGAATTAGCTATGAATTTAATATATCAACTAAGTAAGTCACCTTTTTGATATATCTTGATCGTACAAAATATTTTGGTACACACTTAAGGATCTTATAAATTTTTTCATACATTTTGGAAGAAAAGGGTCTGAAAAGTCATTTTTTTGCGTAACGCAATAAGTTAACGAGCCTTTGTAGATCTCCCTATAACTGCTTTATGTGTATACTAATGTAAAACAAGTCGGGTTTAATGGGAATCAAACCCACGACCTCAAAAATGGCACTGACCACTCGATCAGAGATTCTGCTCAAGCCTATCAATTATAGATATGCTTTTCGAGCCATATCCAAAGCCCTAAGAACTATCCATTCAATTAAATGCATAAAAAAAAGTTGCGTGGTTTTGGAAAAATCATGGCCGCATCAATTGTTCTTAAATTGTGGACCAGCAGAATTAAAGATTTGTATTTTTTAGTTCGATTTCTTTTATTAGCAATAATCCTTGCCTGGAAAACCTTACAAATGATGTATAACCTTTTGATTTTCAATTAAAAACTTAGCAACAACTTCTGAAATTTTCTCAACTTCATTTAAATGATAGTGATGTGATTCGGAATCGACTAAAACTTGCTGAAACTTTGAATTTTCTTGTGATGCTTCCAAAAATTGATCGAAAAAGAATTCTTTTGCAAAAAGTGGCGATTCTGGTGAATACAAAAATAAGTAAGGAGCTGTCATGTTCTTAGCACCACAAAGTGTAAGATTTTCAGGATGTGGTGTGAGAATTAAATTCCTCAGCCTTGGGTCTCGTGAGAAAAAATATTTTCCGGGAACTTTGAAAGATTTTTTAATGTTCCGCTCAAGAATATAAGGAGCACTTTCAGATGTAATGTTTCCAAAGCTTCCAACATGAACTTTCTCGATCATTTCCTCAAGAGTGTAGCTAGGTGGTTCTGAAATTGCCTGACTCTTCTCATCCAAAACAATAAAATTAAGAATATTGTCTCGAGCATCCATAATTCTCTCAATATCTGATCGATCGGGATTCTTGCCAAACTCAATTGTGACAAGACAATCAAGCTTATCAGGAAACATAATCGAAAATAAAAATGCTATTGCACCGCCCATACTATGACCTAAAATGCTAATACTTTGCCAGTTATACTCCTTCATTATATAAATTATTGTATATACGTTATCAAATAAATTATATGGAACTCCTCTAGGCAACCATGAGCTCCTTCCATGACCGAGTAAATCAATTGCTAAGTATGAAAATTCTCTCGGTAATAATGGAATTAGACGATCAAAAGTTCCAGCATTATCTTGCCATCCATGCAGACATAATATTGGTTTCTTTTTTAAATTTCCCCACCATTTTCCAGCAATACACATGCCATTTGAAAGATTTATTTGTACTTCTGTAATCTTTTGATAAATTATGATAAAAAAAGTTTAAACTTTGATTTTTGTCGGGCTTTAAACTTACTTTGATGTCTGTTAATTGATCTGATTTGTACTTTTGAAGCTCTTCAATCATTTTATTTGACTCTAATTAAGCACCAACTTTAAATATTTAAAAAAACTATTCTTTTTTGCAAAAAAAACTGAAATAGAAACAAACTTATAAAACAAGCTATAGACTGCTGGAATGTTTTCAGTAAGAGTTCACTGATGATAATGTTTCTTGTTGTTGTTTTCGTATCGCAAGTGCAAGCTGCAACATTCAAATGTAATCTAGCAGATACAATTTAATAACATTGTTTCGATTAAAAACAAAGGCGTAGCTATCAAAAATTACAAACTTTATTAATCACAGCTGACTCTTCAACCTTCTATGTTTCTCCAGAAATTCATTTATAATTATGTAAATTTTTTCAGGCTCCGTCAAGTGAACGTGATGTGAGTCGGACTCAATTAAACAATACTGAAAATGTGGATGCTTTTTCAAGATTTTAATGGCTTCTGCCTCGTTTATGTCCCTTTTTGGTTTTGCGTAAGATGAATTCGTAACTTTTATGTAAAGGTATGGCATTGTTAGGGATTCAGCAAGCTCCAATTGGTTCTCTTGTGGGAAATTTATTTGATATTTTGATAGGAGTCGCCGGTCTCTTGAAAAGTAAAACTTTCCTGGATATTTTTTGGATGGCTCAACGTTTCTTTCAAGTAAATGATGAGCAGTTTCTCTTGTGACACTTTTTTTGGTTCCAATAATAATTTTTTCAATCATTTCTTCAAATGTGTAGGCTGGTGGCTCGGTACTTTCCTGATTCCTCTTGTCATCTACTAAAAATCGTTCAAACATTTCATTATATTGCTCTTTAAGCGCTTTGACGCTTAGAACAGGAGGTTTCAGCACATCAATTGATATCATTAAATCAACACGTTCAGGATATAAGCTTGCGTATGAAAAAGCCACTCTTGATCCCATACTGTGTGTTAAAAAGCTGACTTTATCCCACCGATAATATTTTAACAAAAAATCAACCACAAATAAATAATCCATAATCATGTACTGCTGTCCATGAGGAATCCATGAGCTCCTCCCATGGCCCGGAAAGTCAATTGCTAAATATGAAAAGTTATTGGATAACATCGGAATTAAACGATTAAAGGTTCCGGCATTATCTTCATGTCCGTGTAGACATAAAATTGGTCTAATTGATTTATTTCCAAACCATTTACCAGCGATGATTTGTCCAGATGGCATGGTGAGTTTAACTTCCTCAAACTTTATAGACAATAATTCAGAAATAAATTATTAAATAGATCATGTGAAAATTAAGTTGACTTACCATTTCTAGGCTTAAATTACAGAAATTTTGAATTTTATTTTAATTTATTAATTTTTTTCTTCTCCAAATCGTCTATGGAATGAGTATTTTGTTTGTTACTTGAAACTTTATCAGGCAAAGATTCGATAAGATTGCAGCTTGACGTGATGAAAAAGCGCTTTTTAAACTTTAAACTCAAGAAATCTCAGTCAACAATAAGCAAAAGAAGGTTCAAATTCCAAAATTTAAAACTCATTACTAGCATCAACTTAGTTTGAGGGGGTTATTCAAAAATGAGTTTTTGGAAATTTACAACAAAGGACTTGAATCGGGGGTGTAGTAAGGAGAGGGGGGGATCGGGTGACAAATCCCTATGCGTCAACGGAAATTTCTTAATTTTACTAGGTTTTTTACGAAAACAATCCTAAAATCACCCCCCCCCCCCCCTCCTAAATCTTTCATACAAAAAAAAATTTTGTCTCCCCCTCCTACCTTCAAATTCCTGAATATGCCCTCAACTTTAATCCATTCAGGAGGTTTCCAATTAGGGGATTAGGCAAGGTCCAACCCGCACCTCCTCCTCAATAACTTTCAAATTTCTTTATGTAGGTGAAATTTATAAATTTTCTCAAAAATACCTAAAAAAATCAAATCAATTTATCCATCGACCCCCTTGACCCATCTTCCATTAAAATACACATCATTTTTGAACGACCAATAATTTTACTTTATTTTAAAGAAATTAGATTTTTAAACAATTTTGTCCCAATTTTCCTCATAAATGACTCTCAACTTTCTTATACTTCTCCATAAAATCCTCAATAATTCCAACAATTTTTTCCGGTTCAGTCAAATGCAAGTGATGTGAAAAAGTGTCAATTTCATGATACTCAAAATTTGGATTAGTCTTCATTGCACTTAAAGTTTCATTGAAATATTCATGATCTTCGGTTATTGGAAATTTAGCAGCTTTAAGGATAAGATATGGCAATTTAATTTGTGTCGCTAGTTCAATGTACATTGAGTGGCCTAAGTAGAATCCAAAATTGTACCTCAGTCTGCCGTCTCTTGAAAAATAATATTTTCCCGGTTGCTTTTTTGAAGGAAGTGCACCTCGTCTTAAAACATATGGAGCAGCTTCTTTGGACACGCTGTTCAGAAATGCATTGTAGATTTTTTCAATCATCTCATCATAAGTATATTCAATAACATCTCCATCAACATTTCTTTGGTCAGCAATTGGAAAATTTTCGATTGTCTGTTGAAGTGCATAGACTAATCTGTTGGATGTATATACACTTGGTTTTAAAGCATCGATGCTGATTATTTTATCAACTTTATTAGGGAATATGGCAGCAAAAAAGAATGCAATGTAGCCACCCAAACTGTGTCCAATTATGCTGATCTTGTCCCACTTATATTCCTTCATAAGGAGTATTAGGACACTAATGAAGTCAAAATTATGATAAGCAACTCCATTTGGTAGCCATGAGCTTTTTCCATGACCTGGGAGGTCAATTGCTAAGTATGAATATTGTTTTGGTAATAATGGAATTAGTCTATCGAATGTTCCTGCATTGTCTTGCCAGCCATGAATGCATACAAATGGCTGAACTGATTTATCACCCCAAAATCTACCTGCTATGAATCCACCAGTTTGTAAGTTGATTTTCACTTCTGCTACCTGTATAGAGGATGTAGGAATAAATTGAACTTTGATCTATTCCTTTAATTTGATTGACTTACTTCAAATTCCTCTTCATCTTTTTGTACTCTTTCTTCAAATTCTTCCATTTCTTTTAATTTTATTTAATTATTAACTTATTAAAAGTGGAAATGGTCATAAAATATAATTAAAATGAATTCTACATCAGAATGTTTTGATGTTTTGGCATTGAAACAGCTGATTCTAAAGGTTCAATGTTATCACAACATTGTGACAGTCCATACCAGAGATCGAAGCCGATTTTTTCGGCTTAACTCAATTTTTGATTATTTTGATAGAAAAAAGCCATTTAACACCCATTTTAAGTATTTAAATTGAACTTTACATACTTTACTATGATTCTGTGAAATATTTTTTCAGCATGTAGCTATAGTAAGCTCTGAATTTCAATTTAGCCGATTTTAAGCCGATCGGCTTAAATTTCGGCTTAACATTCTTTAACTTGAAATTCTGAGCTCACTATAGCTACATACTGAAAAAATATTTCACAGAATCATAGTAAAGCATGTAAAGTTCAATTTAAATACTTAAAATGGGTGTTAAATGGCTTTATTCTATCAAAATAATCAAAAATTGAGTTAAGCCGAAAAAATCGGCTTCGATCTCTGGTCCATACAGTAAAGATAAGTCGGGTTTAGCTTAGTGTGACTTTTGAAATTTAAAAATACGTTAGAGAATGTGAAGCTTAACCATCAATGATTTTCATGTTTAATCGATAGCGTGTATGTAGTTTCAGGAGCACTGCCTTTAAACTCCTTAACACCCCGTTCCAACCCTTTCGATTGTGATTTTTTATCACAAGCTTTTCATTGTTATGAAGCAGACGAAAAAAACAAAAGAAATTTCACAAAATATAGCTGCACATGTGGAAAGCTTATTTAGATAAATTAGACTTTTCCATTTGTATCACCATTTTAATATCTTACGTACCCTTATTAACCCTTTTTCCATTAAATTCAACATTAGCTATTAGCTCACATTAGCAGTTCTGATTAGACAAGAAGAAAACCTTTTTTGTGCTTTCCAAAAAACCACAAATTATTTTACTTAATATTATCATCATGCAACATACCCTCAGATACATATTAGTGTGAGATTAGGAATAGTAAATTATGCATTTTATTACAATTTAATACCTTTCGGAATATTGTTGCTGTGTAGGATCATTTCTGAATGTCAATGTGGTTTTAAATTTATATCTTCATTATTAGACATTGTTTTCTATCTGGTTCAATTCATATTTGGAAATTATGTTGAGGGGAATCGAGGCTTTGATGAGAAGGTTGATATTTTTTTTTGAAACAAAATTTTAAAATTAATTTTTTTCGATATTTTAAGTTTATTTAAAGTTTTTAAGAAATTCTCGTTTTTTTAAATTTTGCTTTTTAATACTTTTTAAATTTTCATTATCAATTTTGTAAATTTAAGTTTTTAAATTTTAAAACTTTGTTTTTTATTCTCTGAAATCTTGTTTTTTTTTTAATTTTCAAATTTGATTTTTAATTTATTAACTTACTTTTGCTTTTTATTCTTTAAAACTTTGTTTTTCAATTTTTCAAGTTTAATGTTTTATTTTTTTAAATTTTATTTCTTTTTTAAATTTTTAAATTTTGATATTTAATTTTTGGTTTTTAAATTTTTAAAATTTTGTATCTTAATTTTTTAAATTATATTTTTTTAAATTTTTAAATTTTGCATTTTTAAATCTTTAAATTTTGTTTTTTAATTTTTTAAAAACTGTTTTTTAACTTTTGAAATTTTCAAATTTGTTAAATTTGTTGTTTTTTAAATTCTTAAGTTTTTGAATTTATTTTGAATTCAATGAAAGTTTTCTTTATTTATTTTAAATCAATTCAATAAAATATTAAAGCACAAAATTCAACAAACGTAGCAACCCCCTTCATCTTTAACACCCCCCCCCCCTTTAACCCCTTTAACCATATTGAAATGTCGAAGAAAATTTTCCAATTTTATAATTTTTAAATTTATTCATTCAAACTGCACTATACATTCGGGTGGCAATAATAATAATAAGTTATAAGGGTTATAACAACACCAATAATGAAAATGATAAGAAAAGGAAGAAGAAGAGGAAGAAGTTGAAACAAGTAAAGACCGTAATTAATGTCAATAGTCGTGGTATCAAAAACACATTAAACATAATTCTATCCATAGAACAATATTTGTTCCTTCGTCTTGAAAAATAACACAAAAAAGGGTCATTTTTAAAATAAATGAATTGGGAGTGAGATATACATAGATTGTGTTTAAAATGGAGGGAGGAGGACAAAAAAAAGTTTATGGCAAAGTTTCTTGATCGCTTTCCAAACTTATGGCAATATATCAGAGATAAGGGTACGTACGGGTATATAAAATTGTGGCATGAAAATGTTTCAGTCCAAGGTGAGTTTTGACTTTTCAATACAAGATTTGTGGCTTTTCCAAGGGGAGAAATAAAGGAGAATGGAGTGAGAATTTGGATGCAGGGCATGAACAGAAATAGAAGGAAGATTTCTGTGCGGTTAAAATTCATTTATTTTTATTTGGTTTAATTTAAATAAATTTTATGTGATGTTAAGGTTCACCATGTTTATATTTCGAATAGATTTTCGAAGCCACTGAAGAACTTTACATTGTCATTTGAAGGCAAAGCAGGAATTTATTTTGACAGTAACCAGAACTTTGTGTGCTTTATAATTTATTGCTAAATTGATTATTTTACTAGCTTTTATTTCTGGGGATGCTGAAAAAATATTTCAACTTAAAGATGCTTTTAAATTGCAAAAAAGCTAGTTATTCTTGTTATTTAAGTGCTGTGACTCACAAGAGTTGTATTTTTACTCATTTTCAAAAGGAGAGCTAGAAGGGTGTGATCCATATTGATATAGATGTAGCCAGAGGGTGTGATGAAGTCATGGCTCAGTTCTTAAGACTCTTTCAGAAACTATTCATTTTTCATCCCTCAAATAGCCTTAGAAACCGACCCCCATTCCAGTCCGGCTCTCTCTTTAGATTGCTTAACTTGTATTTAAAGTGTAGCAGCTTGCTAAGCCAATGTCCCCTGTAGAAACTAGAGTCTCGTTTGATTCCGCCCCACTATGCGGCTTGAATTGACGGCTTCCACTGCGAGAAGGTGAGGTTAGTATGGACATGGCAATTAAGCTAGGTGTAGCCAGTAGCTACATAAATTGTGCGTTTACCACCTTTCAGAAACCAACCCCCAATAGTGTCAATACCCTCTTGCCTCTTGATGATTTTCGTGATAAATAATATTTCTTTAGTAAAATGTTGACAGCTTTTCCAAAGCTCTAAGTTCAAGTAAAATCATTCATGTACTGCTAAATCAACTTGTCCTTTTATAAAATAAAACCTGGAACCTCCCCTCGAATTTAAATACCCCCAGAAACTTGTTTATGTAAGAGATTGACGTTTAAAAATTTAATTAAAGTTCTTAAAGCTAATCTAGCCAAAAGAACTACCTTAACACCAACAACTCGATTCCATCCCAAACCACACAAACAAACAAAATACTTCCATCTCTGCGGTTCCTTTATTATAATATTTTTTTTTTCACTTCTTCATTTTTCATGTTGAAACAACAAAAGATGTGGCAGAGAACTGAACTGTATGGGATTAAAGCAGTTCATATTTTCTCATATCGAGATCACATCAAAGCACTCTTTCTCCATTAATATCACTTCTGTAACCACATCAAAGGTACATGACTGAGTCTTTCATTTTCTCTCTTACTTGCTTTGGAACTAAGTATGTTCATGTGAATGCGATCTGATGATGAAGAAGGAAAAAAATAATTTCAATATATATTTTTTTTGTGGCTTTTGAGAGTCATCGCAATGGAAATTGTAATCAGTATTAATGGTCTGGCTTTTCAACTTTGTCTCTGTGAATAGATTGTTGCAGGCACTAGGGATGATTGTTTGATGCAATAGCAAATTAATTAAATTTTGACCAGCATGGCTGGATGAGATTGTTGGTCAATAATTTAGAGAGTGGTTGGGATATTGACAAGGATTAAAATGATGGATTATTTTGGTTTCAGTGATTGATGCTGAATAGGGATTGAAATGGTTTGAATTTGGTATGATAAGTAATAAACTCCTTTTATTTAATTCATTGATATAAGGCGGAACAAAAAATATAAGTGACATGATATTAACCTATTTCGGTTTTAAATCAAATATAGAAGTTTGAGAATTAATTGATAACAAGATATGAAATTAGGATAGTGACAACTTGAAATGTGGTCAGAAAAAATTATAAAAAAAAGACCAAAAGTTTGGTATGAAATTCGATTTTGTTTGGAGTTAACTATTAATTCCCTCGACTTTATAGTGTGTTCTATACCAAGGAACACACTCTTTTAGATTATCAATTCTGCACATCCTGTAAAGCAGTGATGGCCAACCCATGTGCCGCGAAAAAATTGAGAAATCCCAAGAACTGCATGCAGTGTCTCGTTTCAGTCATCGCTGTCTAGCAAAGTGTGCCGCGGCACAAAAAAGGTTGTCCACCACTGCTGAATAACAATTCTGCCACAATTCTCTGAAAAATAGTGAAAAAGTCACGAAGAATCCACGTGAAGCGCATCAAAAAGTCATCATTCCTTGCATAATCACGTACACAGGATAAAAGCAATAAAAACCAGTTCAAGGACGCACTTTCTAGTTAAACTATACATAAAGCAATGAAAAATGTAATCAGAGTGCAACATCTGCTATTGGATATGGAACAGCAAAAAAAAATAAAAGAATGAAAAAGAGAGCACGTTAAGAGTTCGCTTGAAAAAACACACCAAGACTGTATAGACATTATACATCCGTAAATTTTATGGTGAAAAAAAGCATCACAACCGAGTTGAAAATTTCACTTTTTTTTTGTATGTCAAAATGTTTTTAAATTGTCATCATTTATATTTTTTTTCCATCTCCAACTTTTTTTTTATGGATGAAAAAAAATGATAAGAAGAAGTGCTTTTTGGTATGAAAAAAAAAAGTTTATACTTGAAAATGGTGAAGGATGTCATTTCTTTCGCATCTCAAATTATATTTTGATGATTCTTCATCTGCCATAGAATTGAGGAATGATGATGATGGAAATGCTTTCATAGAAAGTCAAGTGTAGGTGGAAATATTTTGAACCAATTTAAAGTTTCTGAGGCTGTAAATTTTATAAATAATTGTTGATAAATTGCAAGAAGCTTTGAATTATTAAGGGAAGAGATGAAAATTTTAGTATTTCCTTGGTTCCTTTCATTTAGAGAATATTTGTCATTGATTAATTTGCGGAAAGTCTCTAGACTGGATATAGATATCTTAATTATTAATTCATTACGAATCTAATTTGTAGAACAATGTCTGGAATATTGCATGTTTTAGTAATTGTATAATTTAATAACATGACATGCTACATGGCTCAGAAGTGAATCACAAGGGTCAGACACTCCAAAGTATTGTACGGTATTGTACAATACTTACAATACTTACAATACTTTCCATACAAGTATTGTAGTATTGTACAATACCTACAATACTTACAATACTTGCCATATAAGTATTGTAAGTATTGTAAGTATTGTACAATTCTTACAATACTTTTCATATAAATTTACAATACTTTACAATACTTACAATACTGAAATTTAACTATTCAGGAAGCAAAGTTTTAAAGAAATTAAGTATTTTTTAGTGTTTTGAGCATTTTTTGTATGCAAATAACATGGTTTTTGATAAATATTGAAAGTGAAATAAATTTTATTTATAAATTTACACTATTTATTGGAAATTAGCATTAAAAGTTTAGAATTTTCTGGTGAAATTGGTGTAGATTTTATTTTTTTTGCCTTATTTTTTTAAAATTGGCTAATAAAGTTCACATTTTTCATGCAGTACACAAATGAAATGTTTAAATGGAAACATTAATTTGAAGATTTAAATTCTTGTTAAAGGTAAACATTGAATTTGTTTTTTAAATTGACTTAATTGCAACTAATTCTATGTTCAAAATATGGTTTGAAGCTTGATCAAGCTTAAATTATTATGATTTAGTGGTTTGGAGGCATTTTAGGCAATCACGAAACTTAATTTTCATCAGGTACGAAAAGAAACGGTCAGTTCCGCAAAATTTTTTTGACTTCAAGAGGTGATTGCTTGATAAAAAAACAACAAAAAAATTTTTTGTGGATGTAAACGAACTAGGCAGTTCAAGTGCCTATTCTTGCTTATGACTCATTAAACTAACGTAGATTACTTCGGTACTGTAATAAAAGACATTTAAGTCTTTAAAAGCATTGAAAGCAGGTAGTTCCACATATGCAGTAAGATCCAGACATGCTTGATGAAGTCCAAATATTTATTACAAGCAGCAAGGCACAGAAGATTAAAAATCACGAATTGGATTTCGTTTAAATCAAACAGCATAGAACCATTGGTTGCTGTAACCTATATTTAAGAAATGTTTGGATCTAAAAGATCCAGTTGCAAGATTCTGGCCGAAGAAGGATCAACTGCATTCTTACTTATGAGCAACTGCAACTGAAAACTGTTGATTTGAAAAAAAAATTGAGAAATTGCATACAAAAATTTTAATTGGAGGGATTTTAAAATCCCAATAAAAATCTTTCTTACAAGAGATTTAAATCAAAATCCCAAAGAAAAATCCTTTTGAAAAAATGATTTAAATCAAAATCCCACAAAAAATCCCCATACAAAATGAATTTAAATCAAAATCGAGAAAAAAATCACTTGGGTAAAATGTTTTAAATCAAAATCCCTTTTTAAAATCATTTTTCATTGAGATTTTAATCAAAATCAAAAATAAATTCAGAGATTTTGATTTAAATTGCAAAAAATCTATCCACCCTGATTATAGCATCTTGATTTTTGTCCTGGCAATAAAAAAAGAGTCTTAATCATCAAGATTTCATGTAAAAATGTTTAAAAATAAGATTTTTTTCAACGTTTCCTTCTATTTTCCCTTTTCCGTTTTCATAGTTCATTTAAAAATTAAAAAATGAATTTAAAATAATTCAGGGTTGTTAAAATATATATCCAACATATTTCACATGTGCACATACGAAAATGTGTGGATATGTGTGGATATCCACACATTTTCACAATTTTCCGCACATATCTCATGTGTGCACATATTTTCAAAACACACCAGATTCTGTTTTTATCCACCCAGGATGATTTTCATAAATATTAATTTTTTTTGTAGACTATAAACAATTCTAAGTAAAACTTGAAAACATTTAATAAAACAATTAATAATTTTGTATTTTAAACAGTCAAAAAATGTAAAAAAGCAAGAAAAACTTAAAAATCTTTAGTTAAAATCAAATTTATATTCTTTTAGAAATCTCAAAGTGTCCTGTAAAAATTACAATACTTACAATACTTGCCATACAAGTATTGTAAGTATTGTAAGTATTGTACAATACTTACAATACTTTCCATACAAGTATTGTAAGTATTGTAGGTATTGTACAATACTTACAATACTTTCATATGTATTGTAAAGTATTGTACAATACTGTACAATACTTTTGGAGTGTCTGACCCTGGTGAATCATTAAATTGTAATAATCTCCTTTTCATTTATGCAGTAATAGGGCAAATCTTTGCGACATATTTGTGTGAAAATTTAACAAATAATGCCGCAATGATTTAAATCTTGTGGAGTCAAATGACGACTTAGCGGTTTAGACAGTGCTAGTGCCGCTAAAGGAGAGTATGAGGTCACTTAAATTTAAAAAAATAAAAAAAAAGATTTCTTAAAAATAATTCTTCAAATTACAAAATCTTACAACATATTGCCTTACAATCTAAATAGTCTCATAGCCTGAACTGTCTCACAATCACAAAAAAGCATTTAAAATCAGAAAAAAAAATCCCCATTCAATGAAGATCAGCACTTTCATCACAAATCCTTTGCGAAATAATTCCAGCTCCGCCAGATCCAATTGAACTTCCAAGTATCAATCCAATTACCAGTCCTCCATTCAATCCCAGTCCAGGAAATAAGAATGATCCCATTAAAGCTCCAATTGAAAGGCCAGCCTGATAAATTTTTATACCCAATTATTTTATATTATTTTCACTTTTATTTTTGCCACTTACCGATCCTCCAACAGAAGTTCCTGCAGCCACCACTCCAATCGTACACTTCACATTCACATTATATTCAGCATTCAATGCTCTAGCATGGCATGAATGAAATAACAAGAAAATTGTTAAAGTGACTGTTATGAGCTTATTCAGTTTCATGACTGAAGTCTATGATGCTTCAAATTACGATTTATTATGAGAATAAAAAAAAATTATTTCTTCTGACTTCTCTAAAAAAAAAGTTCTTTTATTCAGTACATGTGAACTCAAAACCATAAAAAAGAAAGAACAAAATGATAAGAAGGGTAATAAAAAAATTAATATGAATTAATTAATAAACACGAGATTGACTTGGTTTTTATTTTGAATGATTTACTTTTGACTGTCAAATCGTTATGCATGAAGATGATCATTGCTTAGTGACAGTGGTCTAGTAAAGGAAAGAAGAGTTGTCCATGAATTATTTTGATCCTAGAAACTGAAGGGTAATATAAAAAGAACCTGTAAAAAACAATTCCGATCTGTAAATTGGCCATGAGCTTCATAAAGCATAGCTACGCTCTTGCCACACTTAGCTTTAGCATCTAAAATCTTAAACCTATCTAAAAACTATTTGCAAAGTCAGCTGTTGACAATTTCAGTATTTAGTATATCCTCCCTGCCACTCCTTTACTTCACCTTGTCAAATAATTACAGCCATCTTCACTTTAGTGCCATCCACAAAATTATTCTATCAAAAGACAATAATCATGATTCATCTATCCTTATAATAATGCTAATTCCTTCATTCTTTAAGCACAAGTACATGTTAATTATAAGCGATAAGCATAAAGGCTCTTAAAATATTTATAATGCGTGTTTAAATTGTTATGCTGTACAATGTACGTACGTATAACATGCTGTAGTCATTAATTCTCAACTGAGATGTATCATAAGACGCTCATCATTTTATTACAAATGAGAGAACGAGAGAATTTTTTTTATGTATGTTCATGTACGTAAAGTAAGTAGACGCAAGCACATTAATGATGCTTTTTTGCCTCTGTATGGCATGTATTATCCTCCCAAAAGAATAGAAAAAAATGCTAAACATTGAAAAGGTTGCCCACATTTTGTATGTAGATTATAGGTGTTATTGTTGTTGGAATTATGACTTTTTTTTGGTCTCTTTCTTCATTTTGTTATGTTTGGTGTAGCTGTTGATGGATCATAAAATTTGTTTGCTGCATTTCCCTAAATAGATGCATAAAAAAGCTTAGGAATGACTATATATCATGCTTTATAATTACAACTAGAATACAAAGTCGAGATTAATATCGATAATTGGAAAATTTGTACTTTTTAGATGCAATCGTCTTTCTTAACAAGCTAGTTCTCAACTAGTGGATTCAAGATATGATTGAGCTTTTTTATTTTAGGTCTTGTCTGGTTCTATTAAGAATCAATCGCAATATCCATAAGAAAAATTATGAGCACAATGCGAATCGAGTTTGAGATGTCGTTTCTGGTGAGAATCAAACCTAAGTCCTCACAAAGGAGGGTTACAGATATCCGGTCTGTTGACTAACCACTCGGTTACAGGTTTCTTACTTTCGCACTGGCAGAATCACCTACAAATGGCGTTTTACCTCAGATTCTACTTCTTCTTTGACACTACACCACGGAAGTAAACAAGCTATCTTTTTCACAAGATATTATTCATGGTATTCAGCAACAAACTTTACGAAGCCAAAAACACAAAACTTTACATTTTTTTACGATTGTCAATGTTTGATGAGCTGATGACACACATAAGTTGACTCACTTTCTCACTCAAACACTACTTCCATCCTCGTTTACGTCTCATTTTCCGGTTTTTATGACAAATTTTATACTCATTTGGGGACTTCAATCTTCTTTTCATTCACTGGTATTGTGTCATGTGGAATAGACAATGAAAATGACACAAAAAAAAATAAAAACATCTTGACCACATTTAATTTATTTCAAATTTATGTTTTGCTACTGTTTGTTGCTTCACTGTAGTCACCTCTTTATAATTCATTGCTGTTCCAAACTTAAATTGCCACAATTTCCATCACAATCATTTGGAAAATAAAACAGAGAATGGTTGACGAAATGATTTTTGATTTTTGGAGATTGAGAGCGCATTACAAGTTGAATTTCAGCATTTGTGCTGGTTGAGTATTGGGAATTTCAATCACATTGAGGACAATTATGTTATTTTTTTATTTGATTATTATTTAATTTGAACATAAAGTAACCGTTAATATATTCTCAATAATGAATGATTCTCATTTAATTACAATTTTTAATCTAGAGACTTGATGACGATCTTTTAACATCTGTTCAAGTTCTGCTGATCCAGTTTGATCAAAGTCTATCAGATCTACATCATCTAAATTCAAACTTTAAGGTTTTTGGTCACCAAAGTAATTTACATTCACAAACATTCGAATTTCATCTGAATAAGATGATATTATTCAGATCCAATTATCCTGCAAACTAAGCAAACCGACCACACAAACCGATTAGTTTCATATAAGAATGTACAGAAAAAGAAAACTTTCCGACTATGTTATAAACTTCTCGAATATATAAGTAGAAATGACGAAAAACTTTTTCCATTTAATCGAACTTTTTTTTTTCTAGATAATAAAAAAAAGAAAAATTTCTGTGACCCTTTTAAACTCGATGAGATGACAACATTTTTTAACAATGAAAAAAAAAGAGAAAGTTTCTTTCCGCAATTCGAGTACAATTCAACTTTTAGTGCCAATAAAATGGTATTAGAACCAGGAAGTTCCTGGTGAAAATGAAAAAAAAACTTAGCCACTTTTTTAAGTGTCTCTTCTGATTACGGAGATCAATTTTATATCCCAATGATATGATTAGCTCTGGTTAGTTGCAATGTTGACGATAATGATAATGTTGATGCTGAAAATCATTAAAAAAGATTTGAGTTGTGCTTAACATTTTATGACAGCATGAAATTTACTCATTTTTATATCCATCTCATACACATTTTCATTCCATGACGAAAAAAACAACAAAATGAGTTATTGATGAGAAAAGTTTTTCATCATCGAATATTTTTTTCTCCACTCATTGTATTCACATCTCCAACCACTTCACTGTCCTAGTCCTTGTCTTGATTGAAGAGGAGTAAGTGAGAGAAAGAATGAAAAAGTTTTTCAATATAAAAATGAGTTTATGATAGTCCTTGGAGGCAAAAGCAGTTCTGACTTTCGGTTGGGATGAATATCTGATAGGATTGGTATGGATAACTTTCTTATGGGTTTGTGTGAGGACTGTGTACCTTCAAATAAAAATCAAAGAATTCGAAAAAATATTTTTTCAAAAAAACTAAAATAAAAAATTAATTTACCTTTATAACTAGTAAAACCAACAAAACGATCAAATCCTTAAAATCAATTTATAATACCTAGAAATGTTTTAAAATGCAATTTAAAGCATTTTTGGTTTTGATCATAGCAGGCTATTTTCGAAAAAATATCGATTTTAAATCTATATTAGCATTTTTCATCATTTATAATACCCAGATATGTTTTAAAATTCAATTTAAAGCATTTTTGGTTTTGATCATAGTAGGCTATTTTCAAAAAAATATCGATTTTAAATCTATATTAGCATTTTTTATCATTTATAATACCCAGATATGTTTTAAAATTCAATTTAAAGCATTTTTGGTTTTGATCATAGTAGGCTATTTTCAAAAAAATATCGATTTTAAATCTATATTAGCATTTTTCATCATTTATAATACCCAGATATGTTTTAAAATTCAATTTAAAGCATTTTTGGTTTTGATCATAGTAGGCTATTTTCAAAAAAATATCGATTTTAAATCTATATTAGCATTTTTTATCATTTATAATACCCAGATATGTTTTAAAATTCAATTTAAAGCATTTTTGGTTTTGATCATAGTAGGCTATTTTCAAAAAAATATCCATTTTAAATCTATATTAGCATTTTTTATCATTTATAATACCCAGATATATTTTAAAATTCAATTTAAAGCATTTTTTGGTTTTGATCATAGTAGGCTATTTTCAAAAGAAATATCGATTTTAAATCTATATTAGCATTCTTTATCATTTATAATACCCAGATATGTTTTAAAATTCAATTTGAAGCATTTTTGGTTTTGATCATAGTAGGCTATTTTCAAAAAAATATCGATTTTAAATCTATATTAGCATTTTTTATCATTTATAATACCCAGATATGTTTTAAAATTCAATTTAAAGCATTTTTGGTTTTGATCATAGAAGGCTATTTTCAAAAAAATATCGATTTTAAATCTATATTAGCATTTTTCATCATTTATAATACCCAGATATGTTTTAAAATTCAATTTAAAGCATTTTTGGTTTTGATCATAGTAGGCTATTTTCAAAAAAATATCGATTTTAAATCTATATTAGCATTTTTTATCATTTATAATACCCAGATATGTTTTAAAATTCAATTTAAAGCATTTTTGGTTTTGATCATAGTAGGCTATTTTCAAAAAAATATCGATTTTAAATCTATATTAGCATTCTTTATCATTTATAATACCCAGATATGTTTTAAAATTCAATTTGAAGCATTTTTGGTTTTGATCATAGTAGGCTTTTTTCAAAAAAATATCGATTTTAAATCTATATTAGCATTCTTTATCATTTATAATACCCAGATATGTTTTAAAATTCAATTTAAAGCATTTTTGGTTTTGATCATAGTAGGCTATTTTCAAAAAAATATCGATTTTAAATCTATATTAGCATTTTTCATCATTTATAATACCCAGATATGTTTTAAAATTCAATTTAAAGCATTTTTGGTTTTGATCATAGTAGGCTATTTTCAAAAAAATATCGATTTTAAATCTATATTAGCATTTTTTATCATTTATAATACCCAGATATGTTTTAAAATTCAATTTAAAGCATTTTTGGTTTTGATCATAGTAGGCTATTTTCAAAAAAATATCGATTTTAAATCTATATTAGCATTTTTCATCATTTATAATACCCAGATATGTTTTAAAATTCAATTTAAAGCATTTTTGGTTTTGATCATAGTAGGCTATTTTCAAAAAAATATCGATTTTAAATCTATATTAGCATTTTTCATCATTTATAATACCC